CCCTGGTTCGGTGCCTGAGTTTCAGGGCCGGTCGTTCTGATGAATGACCGAAAATGGCCCTTCGTTTCAGGCTAAAAAGGCTGTTGCCATTTTTAGTCTGAAAGGACCAGGGATAGGCCCTGGACTTCAGGCTTTTGGCCTGAACCGACAGGGGTCTGTAAGCCCTGGATTTCAGGCTTTCGGCCTGAAATTCAGCCTTTTGGCCTGAACACCGTCGGGCCTGCAAAATGGCCCGTGTGTGCACGTGCTGCATGTAACACTGCTAGAGCCTTATGGAACATGAGGCCCAGTTCAGCCTCTCTGGAAATAAAAATGAATTTGTTGAGCACTGTTTTTGACCCATGCGTCTTGTTTCAATTTTATTTGTCTGACTCTCTTTACTCGCTCTGCAAAAGGAGGAAGTTATACTCACTGTTAAGCAGGTTGCTGTATCCATCTTGTGCATTCAAATAGCAAAAAGGTTCACCCTTGCGGACACTTCCTACCCACCCACCCACCCACCCACCCACCCACCCACTCACCCACTCACCCTCAGCCACCCACTCAGCCACCCACTCAGCCACCCTCTCACCCACCCACTCACCCACCCACCCAAATGTTACTTGAGCCCAGGCGGAACCTCGCTCTCACTATGAGCCCATTCCTGACATAAACACCAGGCTTCGGGCGACCAGGCAAAGGTTTTGAACTGTTGATGTGTTGGAGATAACGATGACTATCAGTGAGGCTAACGATGACTATCAGTGAGGCTAGAACGCTTGTAATAGAGTAACAGGAGGTGATGGGTGATGGATTTGGGATGTCAGAATCTGTCTGACAGCTTTCAGTGTGTGCATAACGAACGGCAAAGGAGAGTTTGAAAAACTTCTGGATGCCTGGACGCATACAGAACATTCGTATGCCAATCGTATGGTTCTGTACAAATTTACGCGTTTAAAACTTCTGTTAATGTGTTCATTAACTCCTACTCTTACTCCTACTCCTCCGCCGCCGTCGCCACCGCCTTCCCCCGTGTAGATCAGGTTAGTCATGTGTCACGTATTCAAAATTCGCAGTTGGAATGAAGTTGCTTGTGTACCCCAAACTGCCTCAGGGCCAGGCTCACTGGTGCTAAGTATATGCTTAAACAAAGCATGAACCTGGTCGTTTCTAAGATCAGGTTCATGCTTTCTAAGCGCAGACATAGCACAAGCGGGGTCTGCTCCCCACTCCCCCAACACCCTGAACCTGGCTGTGAGCAGTGCGATCAAGCTCCGCACAAAAGCCTTAGCAGGATTTGAACCTGCGACCATTAGGTTAAAAGCCCAATGCTCTACCAACTGAGCTATACACCCAGAATCCAGATAGGCTTAGTAGGATTTGAACCTACAATATCACCGTTATGAGCGGTGCGTTTGTGGAAACCCGAAACACTGAAGGCTAGATGTGGAAACACGAAATACTATGTGCAAAAGAAGGAATGCATAAAACTTGTGAAGCCTCCATGGTAAACTGCTAACCTCCAAATGGCAAGCTGAGCCTTAAACCACCAGTACTTGGCCCAGCTATCAGCCACAGGAAAAAAATAGACTAAAAACGTTTCTAGTTGGACGAATTTGGGCGCTCCTGTAGTGGCCGGTACGTTTCCTAAAATTGAAAATTGTGGCGTGTCAACGGGCACAACTTTAGGAAGTCCTGGTGGGTTAAGGTGCATGCACTATATGACAACACTGAACTTCCACTGTAAATAGATGCACACCTCAGACAAAAATTATGGGCCCCTGTGTGGTCTATTACCCCTAGTCAGATCTGGTTTATTACTGCTGAAGCGTATGAAGATTCTCAACTGTGCGGGACGACTGAAAATACATAGTCTGCAAGTCTGCAACATTGCTATTCCAGGACTATGCGATACACCACAAGGGTTTAAGCCACCAGTACATGACAGCTATCGGCCGCAGAAAAACACGCACATTCCATGATTCCTGCCTTTTTGCAATCTCTCCCCTCCGACTCTGGACCCCAATGCCAACAGGTGGATGTCCACTGGAGGAGCACCACACCAATAAATACAGATGGAGCCTCAGAAACAGAAGGGCATCTCTGGATGGCACCTGGGGTCTTTCCCAATGTAGCAGTGTGACAGGCTGCTCATACTCTGGCATTCTTTCTTTCTTTCTTTTCTTTTCTTCTGCTCCTTTTCGGTTTTTTTTTTTTTTTTT